AAGCAGATATTCAGGATCTCTCTGTTTGACAATAGCAGTCATTAAATACACTTGTTAGCTATTTGTGTTTATTGAGTGCTAAGTGGCAGGTACTGGGCTGTCATGGATTGAATTGTGTCCACCAAAAATATCTGTCAACTTGGCTGGGTCACGATTCGCAGTATCATATGATTATCTATCATTTTGTCATCTGATGTGATTTCCTTATGTGTTATAAATTCTATCACTATGATGTAATAAGATGGGTTAGTGGCAGTTATATTGATGAAATCTACAAGATCAGATAGTGTCTTAAGCCAGTCTCTTTTGAGATATGCAAGAGAGAAGCGAGCAGAGAGACGGGGGACCTCATACCACCAAGAAAGCAGTTCCGGGAGCAGAGTGCGTCCTTTGGACCTGAGGTTCCTGTGCTGAGATGCTCCCAGACCAAGGGAAGACTAATGCATCACAAGGACCTTCCTCCAGAGCCGACAGAGAGAGAAGGCCTTCCCCTGGAGTCGGCGCCCTGAAGTCAACGCCTGCTGGAGTGAGAGAGAATAAACTTCTTTTTGTTAAAGCCATCCACTTGTGGTATTTTTGTTATAGCAGCACTAGATGACTAAGACACGGGCTAAGCACTTTACATGCATTGACTCATTTAATCCCTTGAGATAAGTACTCCTGTCATCCCCAGAGGAGACGGAGGCTGAGAGGCGTAGTAACTGGCCGGATGTTACACAGCCAGGAGGTGGCGTTCTGGTCAGAGTTGTCCCCTTGACTGAGGTGCTGTAGTGAATGAATGCCTGAGGGGCCACCCCAGTGCCTGCTCTGTCATCCAGAGAGGTCCCTCTGTGTTTTCTTGTGTGGTGTGTGTTGTGGGCTTCAAGGCCATGTGTCAAGCTGTGCAGCCTCTGTCACTGGAAGTCACTGGCCGCCAGGACAACCCACCCGCCCCCACCCAAACCAAGAAAAAAATGGATGGAGTCACATTCTTCCCTTTGCAGGCATTTTACTCCTGTAATATACTGATTCCTTAGGACCGGGCACTGTACCTAGCCCTTCCCTCCATACGTATCCCATTAATCAATACAGTAACCCCGGGGTGGCTACCGTTACCATTTGTATAGGTCCAGGAGAAAAGGGGAGGGGGCCAGAGGCCGGGCCCAACTCCAGTGTACAGGCCAGCTGAGGGACCCTGACGTAGCCTTCCAGCCTCTGGAGACAGAGTCTTGCCTTACACCTGGTTTGTTCTGAGCCCTCAGACCCCATCCTCCTGACCCCTGCTGGCCCCTGGCCTACCTCTCAGAGCCCTTCAGTTCTGTTGCATCTCCCCTGTGCCTCACTCTCTGGAGTGCTTGCCGGGGCCACGGGCAGGCGCTAAAATCCAGTGTGAGAGGCAGTCAGTCCTTCTCCCAAGTCCTCTTCCGCATCTTCTTCCCAAGGCACCAGCCCTTTCCCTTTTCCCATTTCCCAACCTTTCTCGGCTTTGTTTTTCCCTCTCCTACCAATTTCTGACCACGGAACACGTCCCAGCCCTAACTCAGTAACTTTCACAACAGAGGCTGTTGCAACTCTTCTACAGATAAGGAAACTCAGAACTCTGTGGTGTTTTGCACACATTACTTATAAACTGGAAGCCAGGTCTGTCTGACTGCAGCCGGGTGATGGTGAGTGCTCATTCATCTGCTCATTCAGCAATTAACTGCTGGGAGCCTGCTGTGTAAACTGACCTTGACCTGATGCCTGCCTTCTTGGAACTTGTGGTGTAGGTGGGAGACCCGAAAAACCTCTTGCTGTCGAGTGGATTCTGACTCATAGTGACCCTATAGGACAGAGTAGAACTGCCCCATAGGGTTTCCAGGGAACGGCTGGTAGGTGGGAGACAGACTGAGATAAAAGACTCTTCTAGTGGGTGTAAGGAAACCCTGGTGGTGTAGTGGTTAAGAGATTGGCTGCTAACCAAAAGGTCGGCAGTTCAAATCCACCAGCTGCTCCTTGGAAACCCTATGGGGCAGTTCTACTCTGTCCTACAGGGTCGCTGGGAGTCGGAATCCACTTGACGGCATCAGGGTTGGTTTTTTGGTTTAGTAGGTGTGAAAGAACCGCTGTGCTAAGCGCTCAGTAGGGGGGACATGGTACCGTAAGAGTTCTGCTGCTTCCCTGGAAGGGCGGGGAAGTCTAGCGTATCCTGGGATGATGTTGTAAGGCCTGACCCCGCTCCACCGTTGGGAGTGGCATTTCCCTTATTTTCTCACAACCACAGAACGTACCCACGTACACATTACCGCATCGGAATCTTGGACAGCTTGTTCACTGCAATTAAAGGAAGGGGGGAACCAAAGAGGACACCCTTGACCCCACACGTGTGAGTTCCAGCTTGTGGCAAATGTGGTCATTCTTCTTCAGTGTCTCTTGGCAGTGAAGCCACAGTTACTGACCTAGAAGGAATCTAGATCACACAAAGATGGAGACGTGTGAAAACCAGGCCAGCACGGCAGCGGGTCCTGGGGCCTGCGTCTCAGCTCTGCCCAGGTCTGAAGCCTAGTCCTGATGTTGTGTTTTAGCTCTGTGGCCTGAGCAGGGTGTTTACCTCCCTGCACTTCCGTGTCTTCATCTATTCACAGGCACTAGTAAATAATCCCTGTTTCCCAGAGGTGCTGATGAAGGTTCAGTAAGATCCTGCATGTAAAGCTCCACTGACCCACAGGAAGTGCTTGATATAGGGCAACTGTTGCAATACTGAGAGCAGTTCACGCCCTCTAGGCTCGAGGCACTGGGGCTTCTCACAGGCTTTCCCAGCCTTGCCTCACCTGATCTCGTGGTCCCCATGAGGACTATGCCAGCTACTCTGAAGCCCTTGCAGTTTCTACAAGGACATGCTCTTCCTCGCTTCTTGGTTTTGCTTGTGTTCACCCCACCTAGAATGCTCTTTCCCTACCTTCTAGTTGTCCGTCAGGTCTCAGCTTTAGCATCACTTCCTCAGAGAAGCCTTACCCTCTCCATGATGCTGTATCCCCCTGCTTTCTCCTACGGTAATACCAGTCACTTTCATCATTACTGTTTCAGTACCTGTCTTCCCTGCTAGGCAGCAAGGACAGAGGTCCTGCCTGTCTCAGGTCCCCAGAACCCAGCACAGGGCTTGGAACACAGCAGGTGCTCAAATATTTGTTGAGTGAGTCAGCCCGGGCTTGTGGAGGGCGGAAGGACTGGAGTCGAGGGGGCAGTGAAGTGTGTGGAGCGGTTGGCCAGGTGATGGGGAAGGAGATGTCCTAGTTAAGACGTGAGAGCAGAGCTGTAGCGTTAGAAATAATCATAGTTGACAGTGTTTTGGGTGTTTACTCTGTAACTTACAGGTACCGTGCTAAACATTTTACACATGATCTCGTTTAAGCCTTGCTACACTTCTGTGAGGCGTTCTCCATTTAGAGATGAGAAAGGGAAGACTCCAAGAGGGGAAGTCACTTCCCCAAGGTAACCCAGCAAGGGATTTGAACCCAGGCAGTTGTTCAAACAGAACAAGGGATACTGCGTGGTTTAAAGTCAGGAAAGGTGTGCATCAGGGTCTTATCCTTTCACCATACTTATTCAATTTATATGCTGAGCAAATAATTTGAGAAGCTGGACTGTATGAAGAAGAACTTGGCATCAGAATTGGAGGAAGACTCATTAAAACCTGCATTATGCAGATGACACAACCTTGGCTTGCTGAAAGTGAAGAGGACTTGAAGGACTTACTGATGAAGATCAAAGACCATACCCTTCAGTATGGATTATACCTCAACATAAAGAAAACAGAGATCATCACAACTGGACCAGTAAGCAACATCATGATAAACGGAGAAAAGACTGAAGTTGTCAAGGATTTCGTTTCACTTGGATCCACAATCAACGCCCATGGAAACAGCAGTCAAGAAATCAAATGACACATTGCATTGGGCAAATCTGCTGCAAAAGACCTCTTTAAAGTGTTGAAAAGCAAAGATAATCACCTTGAAGACTAAGGTGCACCTGACCCAAGACATTGTGTTTTCAATAGCCTCATATGCATGTGAAAGCTGAACGATGAATAAGGAAGACCGAAGAAGAATTGATGCCTTTGAATTATGGTGTTGGTGAAGAATATTGAATATACCGTGGAATGCCAACAGAACGAACCAGTCTGTTTTGGAAGAAGCACAGCCAGAATCCTCCTTAGAAGCAAAGATGGCAAGACTACATCTTACATACTTTGGACATGTTATCAGGAGGGCTCAGTCCCTAGGGAAGGACCTCATGTTTGGTAAAGTAGAGGGTCAGTGAAGAAGAGGAAGACCCTCAACGAGATGGGTTGACACAGTAGCTGCAACAATGGGCTCAGGCATAACAATGATTATGAGGATGGCACAGGACCGGGCAGTGTTTTGTTCTGTTGTACACAGGGTCACTATGAGTTGGAACCGACTCTGCAGCACCTAACAACAACAACAAGCCTGACTCTTGGAGGCCCATCATCTTAGGCTGTACGCTGGTGGCATCCTTGGTGGACATATGGGTCAGTAAAAGCCCGTCTGGATGGCAGGCAGGAGAACAGCCTGTGGGGTTGCGTGCACCGATGGTAGCCGTGGGAGACTGAGAGGAGGCGGAGTCTGTGGCTGGACTGGGGAGGCCTTGAATGCCAGTGTGAAGAATTTGGGGCCATGATAATAATAATGATAGCTACCAGTTTTTGAGCGCCTACTCCCTGCCACTGTATGGAGTCCGTTAATCTTTACATTAATCTGTACTTTGGACAGATAAATTGTTTTTGTTCCAATTTTATAGAGGAGAAAACTGAGCACAAAGGAATTATAGTAACTTGCCTAAGGTCACACAACAAGAAAGTGGCAGAGCTGGATCTCAGGCCTTGCTGTTCTGTCCTGAGAGTCCCCTCAGGCCGTAGTGACTTAACCACTATACCATACTGCCTGCCGCCATGGTATTGAGCCCGGTGGAACCTCATTGCTGCTCCTGATGTGGCATCTCCTCTACCTCTCTCTCCCTAGCATCCCAGGAGGCAACAGCAGCAGCAGTTCTCATCCCTGGATGAGAAGCCCCAGTTCCCAGGGGCCTCGGCAGAGTTTATAGACAAGCTGGAATTCATCCAGCCCAATGTCATCTCTGGGATCCCCGTCTACCGTGTGATGGACCGGCAGGGCCAGATCATCAACCCCAGTGAGGACCCTGAGGTGAGTGGCTGCCTCCCCCGACTGCTCCATCCCTAGTTCCTTGCCCATCTCCCCTCTGGTCCCAGCTGCCCCCGTCTGTCTGTGTCTCCATCTGCAGCTGCCCCAGAAGGAGGTGCTGAAGTTGTACAAGAGCATGACGCTGCTCAACACCATGGACCGCATCCTCTACGAGTCCCAGCGGCAGGTGCGTGGGGATGGGGCCTCAGACTTACCTGGGGTCCCTCTTCCTGTGTTTGGGCCAACGGACAGCTCCCAAGAAGGTGAGGGTAGAATGGAGGTCTTTTTTCTTGGAGTTCTGTTGGAGATTTGGAGGAAGAGTGTGGGACGGGTCCTGCCCCAGGGCAGAGGAGGAACCAGATCACTGAATACACTGACAGTGTGTCTGGCTGGAGGCTTAGCTGTGCTGGTAGAGGGTGGGCGGGCAGGAGAAGACATGGTGACCCTTCCTCTCGGAAGGTCGAGTCTGGTGGAGAAACAAGGTGGACCTGGAGTGCCTCAGGGAACACCGCAGGCTCGTACCAGATGTACTGTGATCTGTCACTGTCTTAGTATCTGAGGACAAAGATCCAGTCAGACCGGTGTCAACAAAGAGGGAATTTATTGACTCAACTCACTGAAAGCCCAGGGGCCCTGTTTTCAGGCACAGCTATGTCCAGGGGCTCAAAAGATCTTATCAGATTTGACTTCTGTCTCACGTCTCTTCTCTGCTGTCCTTTGCCTTAAGTTTGTTGTCCAGCGGGTACTTTCCATGGGCAGCTGCTTAGAAGCTCCAGGCTCATGGAGAGGAGCAGAGAGAAAGGGCTCAGAATATGGGCTCTGGAGCAATACTGTAAGATGTAAGCCCCAGCTCTGCCTCTTCTAGCTGGTGGGAAAGTTGCTTAACCTCTTAATGCTTCCGTTTTCTCATCTGGAAAGTAAGAATCATAACTACATAGTACCTACGTCAGGGGTCGCCATGATTAATGACAGCATATGTAATGGCCTTTGGAATAGTGAGACTGGCAGTTAGCAGGCATTCCAGCTGCCAACCAAAAGGTCAGCAGTTTGACTCTCCTAGCTGCTCCTTGGAAACCCTGCGGGGTAGTTCTGCTCTGCTCTGTAGGGTCGCTATGAGTTGGAATCGACTCAAAGGAACACAACAGCAACAACCCTAGCTGGGCCCTGGTGGCACAGTGGTTAAGAGCTACGGTGTGCTATGGCTGTTAACCAAAAAAGGTCAGCAGTTCGAATCCACCAGCCACTGTCCTACTCTATCTTATAGGGCCCTGTAGGGTCCAACTATGAGTTAGAATCGGCTCAGTGGCAACAGTTTTGTTCTACCGCCCTAGCGATCATTATCCTTTCTACTCAGCAATAGAAAAATGTCTGGCCCCTAATGTTCCTGCAGAAGGCCTAGGGCTGATGCTCATTGGCCAGTCTTTGGTCCCAGACCCCTCCCTGAACCAATCACTGTAACTGATTGGCTAGGCCCAGATCATGTGCCCACCCCAGGAACCAAGGGAGTAGAGTAGAGCCTAGTCTTTCCAGGCCGTGTAGACCAGTGGTAGCGGCAGGCAGTACCACAGATGTCCACCATACCTGCTAGATCAGAATTGGGGGTGGGGATTGGGAATCTGTGGGTTTATTAGGAATCTGTGTGTTTATTAAACCCCCAGGTGAACCCACTGTGACTAAAACATGAGGCCCACTGGGCTAGGGGACAGTACTGAGCAAATTCAGGTGGGCAGCCCGCCTGCTGGTTTTCCCCTCCTGCTCTGACTCTCCTGCTCACAGAAACACTACATATGGGCTCCTGAAGCTAGGGCAGTGTCTCCACCAGCCCGGAAATTTCCCTCGTCCCCACTGATCACAGGATGAAGTCTGGCATCACGGCTTGGCGCACTAGGCCCTGCCTGTTCACGCCGTCACCACCCAGTGTGGCTCAGCTCTCTGCTCCTCCACCCAGCCTCAGTGCCATGCCAGGCCATGCTGCTCTTCTCTCCCTCTCTCACACTTGCTGCAGGCTCCTTCCTGCCTCATGTCTTGGCTGCACAGACAGGGGCTTTGGAATTCAGTGGACTTGGGTTCCAGTCGGGGCCCTGGTGGCGCAGTGGTTAAGAGCTCGGCTGCTAACCAAAAGGTCAGCAGTTCAAATCCACCAGCTGCTCCTTGGAGACCCTCTGGGGCAGTTCTGCTGTGTCCTATAGGGTCGCTATGAGCCAGAATTGACTCGACAGCTATGGGTTTGGTTTGGTTTCAAGTTGCAGTCACAGCTTTGACTTTGGGCAAGAAATTCTACCTGTTGTTATCTCAGGTTCCTTGTGTATAAAATGGAGATAATGATAGAGCCCACCCTCTAGGGCTGGCGCGGGGATTCTGTGAGGTCCAGCCCCTAACGTCCCTAGCCCACTGGCTGACTCAGGAAGCATCAGTAAGGTCAACTCATCCTTCAAAGCCCGGCCTGTATTAGTTGGGAATTGTTTAGCTGCAAGTAACAGACTTGCCCCCTCCCACAAAAAAACACAAAAGCAGTGGCTTGAACAGATTAACAGTTTTTTTTCCCCCTTTCACATGAGAGAAATTTGGAAATGTGGAGACAGGTGGTTCAGGGTTGGCACATTGCCCCACAGTGTCGTAGGGTATCCAGTCTGCTATCTTCTTTCTGATCTGCCATCCATTGCTCTGGCTTCTATCTTAAGTTCCCTTCATTGTCCAAAATGGCTGCTGGAGCTTCTTCCATCACCACGTTTCATTCCAGGCAGGAAGTAGAAGGGAGGGGGCGGGTCAGCCATGGCACATCCCAGCTCTCTTTACCCTCATCTCCCACTAATGGACTTTCCAGGTGGTCCCACCCAATAACATCTGCTTATATCAGTCCTTCCTAGCTACAAGGGAGACTGGGAAATGTAGTCTTTGTCTGGGCAGTTGGTGCCTGCAGTGGAATGAGATCTCTATTAACAGTGAGGAGGGGGGTAGGATACTGGATAGGCAACGGTAGTCTCTGCCACTGGCGCAAGACTTGATTCCTCAGGGGGCCCCTCTCAGGCTCCTCCCACTGCTAACTCAACAGCCCTGCCAGCCGTCAGCACCCAGCATCTGCCCACCCGCTAGGCACTGTAAGGTCAATTAGTGTTTTAATTGGCTCCCACTTGGAAGAAAGCACTCATTCATCTCTCCCCCACAGCAACTGGAAAGCCTGGCCTGTAGAAGACATTGAGGAGAACTGAAGGAGGCCTAGACGTGGGTGTCCCTCGGAGGGTGCTGTGCTCGCCTCTCTTTGTTTCATTTCACACAGATCCCTGGGTGATCTCATTTCCATCTGTGTGTCAGGGGTTCCCCAATTTCCCCACCCAGGCTTCTTCCCTGAGCCCCAGATTTACTTGGCTTTTCACCCTGGAGTCCTGCAATAAACCCAACCTGTCCAAACCTGACCTCCGCATTTTCCCCAGACCTGCTCTTCTTCCTCTTGTGTTCCGTTTCTCAGTGAAGGCACACCATCCACCCATCTGCCTGAGCTGGAGACCTGCATCTCATCCCTATCTCCCCTTCCCACTCACTGTCCCTTTCTTTCTTCTCAGTCACTAGGTGTTTGGTTAGAAATCCATTCAGCTGCTCAGCAGTGCCATAAGGGACCCAGACTTCTGTCTTTCTGCTTCACGCTTGTTGGCAAGTTGGCTTTTGTCCTGTGCCTGTGCCTCATGTTCGCAAGATGGCTGCCACAGTTCCAGGCTTCGTGGCCATGTGCACGGCAGGAAGAAGGGGGGACAAGGGAATGGTCCCTTTTAATAAGAAAGCGAAAGCTTTCTCAGATGTCCTTAGCAGACTTTCACTTAAGTTCCTGTCTGTAAAAATGTTGTGGTGGGGCAACTGACCTCTAAGTTTATGAGGGGGAGAGAGAATCATTATCAGCATCAACAGCCCAAGGCTGATTCCTGAGGCGGAGATCAACATGCCTCCCCTCTCCAATCTTTTTACCAATTCTGACACCAGCCGTCCCTCCCATAGAACTTTCTACTCCTCTGCTGGGTTCAGTAATTTATTGCAGTGGCTACACAGAGCTCACAGACAATACTCATGACTGTGGGTTTATTAAGGAAGTAACAGGCTACAGTTCAGGATCAGGGGATACAGTTCTTTAGTCAGGACAGCCTCTTCTCAGCTGTGCCCACAGGCAGGTGTCTCTCTGGCCCTTGGCCCCTTGGCCTGGCCTCTGCCCTGCTCTTTAGCTCCACTGATAAGCACCCAGAGGCACCGCACTCTGCCAGCAAGCCTCCATCTCTCACTGTCTCCAGTGTTACAGCTCTCTTTGTCTGTCTCCTAAGTCTCAGAGGTTCTTGACGATACAGGGATCCCAAGTCCAAAGGACATGCCCCACTCCTAGCTCTTCTTGGTGGTAGTGTGGTCCCCTCTTCCTTCCTCTGGGATGGCTCATTTTAAGCCTAGTGGGATGACAAAACTCACTAAGCTACTCGTTAGGATTCCATACACCTTATTTGCATGATCCTACCCCCACAAGGGTGCTGTGCACCTTATTTGCATCATTAGCAAGCTGTCCAGTCCCCTTGGGCCACAAGCACCTTATTTGCATAGTCCCACCCAATCTTTTGGTGAGAGTTACAAGACCATGGCTAGAAAGGCCATATAAAAGCGATCCATTGCACCATAGTGCCCTGTGGCCACCTCTGGCTGCAAGGGAGGCTGGGAAGCTGAGCGTTTAGCTTTTCCAGGCTCTGGGGCAAAGGGGCTTGGGAGAAGGGAGTTGGCCTGGGCACTGGGGCAGCTAGCCAGCAGGGTCTGCTGCCCTTGTCCCCACCGTCTACAGGATCAAGTCTGGCATCATGGCTTGTGCACTAGGCCCTTCTTGGCCACCCTGTTCCCATCCACTGTGGCCTCAGCTGTGTGACCACCAAGGCATGCCGCCAGGGCCTCTCGCCTGAAGCTCTGCAGGCAGTCCTGTCTCCTCCATCCACTCCTCACCCACCCGGGAGCCTGAGAGAGATTTCTAAAATGCAAGTCTGACCCTGGGGCTCCCCTGAGCAGAACTGTCCATGGGTCCCCATTGTTCTCAGGATAAAGTCCAGATAAAGCCCCCTCCCTCTCATGCCTCGTCTTTTCCCGGTCCTGCCCCTTTACATCCCAGCCCTCTGGCCTTTGTTTTTCCCTCTGCCGAGAAACCTCCCCACCCCCATCTTTGCTCAGCTCTGCACCTTCTTCCTGATGCCCCTCCCTGGCGGGCCTGGCACCTTGGAGCTCCCGTCATGCGTCGCACAGTCCCGACTGCTGTGACCCCTGCGTTATGGCACTAATCAGTATGGCAGCTCCTCCGTGAAGGGAGGAACCCCAGTGTGGCCTGGCCCACAGCCACCCTTCAGGAAGTATTTCTTGGTTAATGGCGTCGTCAGAGTTTGGAAGGATTTCCATGGTTTTCTATCATTGCTCACCATAACCGAGCTCGGGCCTCTGGGCCCTCTCCCCACCAGGGCCGGATCTCCTTCTACATGACCAACTATGGCGAGGAGGGGACGCACGTGGGCAGTGCAGCCGCCCTGGACAGCGCGGACCTGGTGTTTGGCCAGTACCGGGAGGCAGGTATGTCACCCCTGCCCCGGCCATGGAGCAGGGGCCACGGAGGCCCGGGTCTGTGGTCTCCATTGGGGTGGGCTAGGCCCTGTCCCTCCTGTGGTGTGGAAGGGGAGGCCACATTAGCTACCCCAGGGTCTCTTCCAGGTGCGGCCTAGTCGGGGGCCTGAGAGGCTGGAGGGAGAACTTCCCTAGCAAGAAAGAGACAAGCCAGCAGGGATGTCTCTCTGAAGACTGGAAAGTACAGTGGCTAAGAGCACAGGAGTCTGACCAGACAGCAGTTTAGCTTAGCTAGTGAAAGGTGTCTGCCTCGAGCGTTGTGGTCTTTTAAGATCTATCTGAATAGGATCAAATTGACAACAGGAACTTGGAAGATTAGACAGGAACCTTAGGGGGCAGTGGGCTTCTGGTGATTGGGGGAGGAACAACTCAGAAAAGGAGGGTGAGAATGGTTGCACAACTAGAATATCGTAATCAGTTGTCACTGAATTGTACCTGTAAAAACTTGATTTGGTGTATGTTCTGCTGCGTATATTCTCAACAGCAATGACGGCAAATCATAAGCGAACGAACAAACGGAACAGGAGTCTGGCTGCCTGTGTTCCATCCCATACTCTGCCAGTTACACTTGTCAGGTTTGGGCAAGTCACTCCCCTTCTCCGAGCTTCGGTGTTCACATCTCCCCGGTGGGCGGATGGTGGTTTTTGCACTGTGGGCATGCTGGGAGGACTCAGCGAGGTCAGTCTGCAGTGTGGCGTGGGCTCTCCTGGCCTCCTCTCCAGCACTGTGTCCTTCAGGGAGCAGAAACAGATGGGAGGGCCTCAACACATCTCGTGTGGGAAGATCAGGGGCCTGTAGGTCCCAGGCAGGGAGTTGACGAAATGAAATAAAATGAAGGGTTAGAGAATAGGAGTGAAGAAGATAGATGAGCACTGGGGTGACCAGGAGTGACGGAGTTGGCCGGGGAGCTGTGAGTGGGGCTTTCAGAGCGGCTGTAGGCAGGGAGGGCCTGCAAGGGGCGGCCTGTGGGTGTCAGGGGGCACTGACTGTGCCAAGGAGGCCTGTCTCGGACCGGCCCCTCCCCTCCGGCGCTACATGGCCTTGGACAGGTTGCCTAACTGCCCCATGACTCAGCTTCCTCATCAGTGATGGGGGATAGTAACCCTTCCCAAGACGGCTGTTGAGGGAATTCGTGGGACAGCTACAGCCCTCACGTGGTGCGGGGCAAGCCCCAGAGTGGAGGCTGATGCTGTGATGGGGGCCTCCCACCTTGGGACAGCCCTTCAGCAGGGGAGCACCTGCTGAGAGGCGGGGGCTGGCCAGAGCCCTCTCTGGGCAAGCACGAAGTTCCAGTCCCCTCAGCCAGACCAGGCCACCCCTTCCCACATTCTCTAGGAGGGCCAGTGCCCAGTGATATTTACCTGAGGTTTAGCATCTAGGCAGCAACTAGGCAGCAAGCCCAGTCCCCCTGTTTTTGCTGAAGGGGTCTCTCTGGTGAGGGCTCTGAGTGAGGCTAGAGGGGATCCCAGGAGACAGCTGGGCTCTGCACACGAGGGGCTGTCTGGGCCCTGGCGGGAGTGAGCCCTCCAACTCCAGGGGGTGTGCAGAAGGCCCTGTGCTGGGAAGCTGACAGGGCTCAGAAGGGGGCGGTGCGCTGCAGGGTATGGGGTGAGCCAGCCGCCCGCACCCCAGCCCTTGGGGAGGTCACTCGCCTCTCTGGATCTCAGTTTCTGCATTTGTGAGGTTGGGGAGAGTAATGACACACGTCACAATAGCATTTATGGACCTCTTCCTGAAGGCCAAGGTGCTGTCCCAGTACTTCATGAGGTTGGAGGCTTCTGTTTCCCTGCAGCCTCACAGCAGAGCAGAGGTCACTGCCTGAGGTCCCACGTGCAGTCAGGGCAGCCGCGTTTGCACTGCCTCATTTACCCTTCACCAGCCAGGTGAGGCAGGCGTCGCTGTTGCCCCTCTCACCGTAAGAAGCCCGAGGTCAGAGGTGAGGCCACGTGCCCCCTGGCAGGTGAAGCAGGAGTCCTCCTCAGGGCAGTCTGACCCAGGGACAGCCTCGCGCTTCACCCACTGGGCCGCCTCCAGGGTGCTGCTCCAAAGGGCTGTTTGGAGATACACCCAGGGATGTGTGTGGAGCGCCGACTGTGGCTCCCGGCAGGTAGTGACGTCCAGTGAAAGGTTTCCTGTGCGGCAGGTGTCCGACCAGAGCAGTAGTTACAGTGGACCTGCGGCTTCCTAGCCTGCGTTGGGCCTGGGAATCTGCTTTTACCCCTGCCCGTCCTGCTCCTCCCTGTGGGTCCCTTGTAGGTGGACCTGGGCCACACTGTGTGGAGCCTGACCCCATGGTTGTGTGGCAGTGCCTGGGACTGCGTCACCTGCCTCCACAGGGCCCCTTTTTCCTGCTTCAACCAGAACACCCCCCTTTTATCTGTTTTACATAGAGTGCAGCCACGTTTTGTGTGATTTATATTATATCCGTTGAAAAGTGTGTGATAAAAAATACAAACAAAATTAAAAGTGACTGTTGAAGTCATGCTAAACATCCCACAGCCCTAACTAGTATTTTAAGAGATCCATTATGTCAAAGCCGATTGTCTAAGCAATACTAAGTATTTCTGTTGATGTCTCATGGTGGCGCCCCTTTAACTGATAAACAGAAATTCTCCCCACTTCCTTTTCTCAGGATCAGCCTTGAGTTTGTGAGTTTTGCATTCTGCCAGCTCCCAACCCCACTGCTCAGTCGTTTATGATCTGGGGCAAATTACGGAGGCACTCCCCACCTCCGTTTCCTCCTTTGTAAACGGAGAGAGTAATACCAGCTGCCTCATGGGGGAAATGTAAGGATTAACTGCATTAATGTATGAAGAATGTCCAGAACAGCGCTTGGCAGATAGGAAGTATTATGTTCATTTTTGCTGTTCTTCTTCAGGGAAGGTGTGACTCCCCTGTGAAAAACGTGACCGCCTTGTAACATGCTCCTCATTAAATTTGTATTTGAAGAAGGGGTTCTGCAGTAAGAAAACAGTTTGTAAACCTCTGTGCCAGACAGCGTCTTCTGTATATGCTTCAAGTTCCCAGAGGGCTTCCCAGTTGGGAAACAGACGCCCCGGGCGGGAAGGGGCTTGCCCTGGGTCACTTGCAGGCTTGGTGTGACATCGCCCTACCCAGGCTAACCCTGCCCCCTCTACCACCAGGTGTGCTGATGTACCGAGACTACCCGCTGGAACTGTTCATGGCCCAGTGCTATGGCAACGTGAGTGACCCGGGCAAGGGGCGCCAGATGCCCGTGCACTATGGCTGCAAGGAGCGCCACTTCGTCACCATCTCCTCTCCACTGGCCACGCAGATCCCTCAGGGTGAGGACTCACGCCTCATCCAACGTAGACACGCAGACCAACTTCATACCCCTGTCCAGGTCCTAGCCCTTCTCCGTCTCTCCTGGCTGGGTTTCCAGGTCACTATCGTATTTAGACGCTCCACGCTCCTCTTGTCTGGGACCCTTCAGAGGAGGACTCTGGTGGCATCCCCCCCAGGTCCAGTAGCTTGAGCCTGTATATCCACATTCTTGATTTCCCAGAATTGTGCCCATCCCGTCTGTCTGCTTACACATGTAGCCAATGCTGAGTCACTGAGTGTGTGCCAGGTCCCAGGTTCCAGGCTGATGCTCCTCTGCTTTCCTTGTCTAATAGGGCACTCACAGTGGCCATAGGAGGTGAATGCTGTTTTTCACTATTATTCCATTTTAAAGAGCAGGAAACTGAGGTCAAGACTACCCAGCGGTCACGTGGCAGGTAGTGAGAAGAGTGGGGACTCAAATCACGGACTGTGTGACTCCAAAGCCCAGGTTCTCAACCCTGGCCCTTGGCTGCCTCAGTCCTCAGGGTAAAATGGACGACCCCAAGGCTTACTTGAGGGCCCTTGAAGCCACAGTGCTTAGAGCAGTTGGTGTGGCTGGCTACATTACAGGTGACATGCGTGGGAAGTATGCCCGCCCGTGCCAGGCCTGCACCCTCACAGCAAGAAGCCAGGGAGTCAGACGTCCCTGCTCTCGGGAGCCCGCAGTCTGGTTGAGGGGTCAGTCTGACTCTGCTGCAGGGCAGCTGAGGCACCTGAGTGTATATTTCCACGGGGCTTGGCAGAATGCCTGGCACCTCGGGAGCACCCTGTACATGTTTGCGCATCTCGTTCTGTGTGCAGGCAAGGAGCAGTTCGTGCCTCTCAGGTGGGAGGTGGGCCGAGAAGTTTTCTTGGGGGAGGTTGCATTTGAGCTGAGGTAGATAGGATGTCCATAAAGCCAGGCCCTTTTTAGCTCCTGCTCACCTCCCTCTCATTAAGTCACTCCTCCAGCAGATGTGTGGAGCCCCTGCTCTGTGCTGGGTGCCCTTCTCAGTGCAGTGAACAAAACAGACGAAAACCTCAGCCCTTGGGGTGCTGACACGGTGGCGGGGAGATAGAAGGTAAACAAGTAAAACAGAGTGTGTCAGGGACGACAGAGTCCTCTAGAGGACGGCAGAGCCACGGAGTGGGTGGGGCACGGAGGGGCCAGTTGTGGTTTTGGAGGGGAGGGGAGGAAGGCATCCCTGAGGAGGTGACAGTTAAGTAGAGACCAGAGGAGGTGAGGAGGGAGCCACGTGGGTGTCTCAGGCAGGAGCACGCCTGGTGGGGGGGGGAGCAGGGGGAGGGGAGTGGTAGGGAGATAAAGCTGTGGGGGGTGCAAATGGTGCAGATCTGGGGTCTCTCAACCTTTCAGTTCTGGAGGGACTTGGACTCCGAGTGGATTGGGTGCCGTGGAGTGACCTCGCTCCCATTTTAAGAGTGCTACCCCGGGCTGCCGGCGGGGAGAGACTGGGGGAAGGGGCCGGAGCCAGGGATGGCGAGGAGGCTGCTCAGTGACTCAGGCAAGAGGTGATGGTGGTTTGATCAGGGTGGCCTGGAGGAGGTGAGGAGAAGGGCTCAGATTCTGGCTTTATTTTGAAGGTGGAGCCTACAGAATTGGCCAAGTAGATGTTGGGAATGAAAGAAAGTCAGAAGTCTACAAGGACACAGCTTTTCACCCGAACTGTTGGGCCCGAACTGTTGGAAGGATGGCGTTGCCATCAGCTGACAGTGAAGGGGGGGCTGGGCAGGTTCTGGGCGGGAGACCAGGAGCCCAGCTTTTATTGTCCCCTCAGGGCCTGGCCACAACCCGCCTGGGTCCTAGAGCCCAGGGTCAGAGTGTGTGTGTGTGTGTGAGTGAGTGTGTGTGAGAGTGTGTGTGTGTGAGAGTGTGTGTGTGTGAGAGTATGTGAGAATGTCTTGAGTGTGTGTGCTGTGTATGTGAAAGTGTATGCGAGTGTGTGTATGCACGAGTGTATATATGTAAAGTGTGTATATGTAAAGTGCGTGTATGCAGGTGTGTATGTGGGTGCTGAGTGTGTATGTGAGTGAGTGTATGAATGTGTGTACAAGTGTGTGTATGAGTATGTGTATATGTGAGAGTGTATGCGAGTGTGTGTATATGTCCGTGTATGTGTGAATGTGAGTATGTGTATGAATGTGTATGCAAGTGTGTATGTGTAAGATTGCGGGTGTGTGTATGTGTGAGAGTATGGATGTGAGTGTATGTGTGAAACACGGATGTGTATGTGTGTGTGAGAGCATGGATGTGTGTATATGTACATGTGTGTATGTGAGTGTGTGTGTATGTGTGACTGTATATGTGGATGTGTTTGAGAGCATGGTTGTGTGTATGTGGGTGTGTCTGAGGGCATGGATGTGAGTTTATGTACATGTGTGTATGCAGGTGTGTGTGTGAGAGCACAGATGTGTTTGTGTGAGACTAGATGTGTGTGTATGTACGTGTGTGTGAGAGCATGGATGTGTGTATATGTACGTGTGTGTGTGAGAGCATGGATATGTGTGTGTATGTACGTGTGTGAGAGCATGGATGTGTGTGTATGTACGTATGTGAGAGCATGAATGTGTGTGTACGTGTGTGTGTGAGCATGGATGTGTGTGTGTACGTGTGAGAGCATGGATGTGTGTATGTACGTGTGTGTGTGAGAGCATGGATGTGTGTATGTACGTGTGTGTGAGAGCATGGATGTGTGTGTATGTACATGTGTGTGTGAGAGCATGGATGTGTGTGTATGTATGTGTGTGGACGTGTGAGAGCATGGATGTGTGTGTTCGTGTGAGAGCGTGGATGCGTGGATGTACATGTGGAGAGCATGGATGTGTGTGTATGTACGTGTGTGTGTGAGAGCATGGATGTGTGTGTACGTGTGTGTACATGTGAGAGCATGGATGTGTGTGTGTACGTGTGAGAGCATGGATGTGTGTATGTATGTGTGAGAGCGTGGATGTGTGCGTATGTATGAGTGAGTGTGTGTGAGAGCACGGATGTGTATGTACACGCCTGTATGCGAGTGTGTATATTGTGTGAGAGGATGATGTGAGTGTGTGCTGTTCCGTTCACCTCCCTTTCATTTCTCTGCAGCTGTGGGGGCGGCCTATGCAGCCAAGCGGGCCAATGACAACAGGGTCGTCATCTGTTACTTTGGCGAGGGAGCAGCCAGCGAGGGGGATGCACACGCTGGCTTCAACTTTGCCGCCACGCTCGAGTGCCCTATCATCTTCTTCTGCCGGAACAATGGCTATGCCATTTCCACGCCTACCTCTGAGCAGTACCGCGGGGATGGCATTGGTATGGGCCCTGCTGGCTGCTCCGCACCCCTCCCCCTCCTTCTCCCTCCAACTGCCACCCCACCTTTCTCTCCCCACTCCTCCTTCCCTTTCTCGGCCCTCTCCCTGTGGTGTCTGTCCATAGTCTTCCCCTCCTCTCCTCAGTCTGCCTCCTTTCCTTCCTTCTCCCCTGCACCTGCCCCCCGGCCTGGCCCTGCTCATCTCCCCGTCAGAGCCCTGGGGCCTGACCTGCCTTCTCTGTCCCCACAGCGGCTCGAGGCCCTGGGTATGGCATCATGTCGATCCGCGTGGATGGCAATGATGTGTTCGCTGTGTACAATGCCACAAAGGAGGCCCGGCGGCGGGCGGCGGCCGAGAACCAGCCCTTCCTCATTGAGGCCATGACCTACAGGTGCCTGCCTCTCCCCATCCCTGCCCTCAGCCTTGACAGCCACTGCATTCCTCTCCCCCATACTGGTCACCATCCCCAAAGCAGGACCCCATTGCCCCACGTTACATCCTCTTCCCTGCCTTTCTTCGTTCCTCTTCCCCTCCTTCTCCCCCAGTGCGGTCCTCTCCTCGCTGACCCTGGGCCCCTTCCCCTGCGCAGGATCGGGCACCACAGCACCAGTGACGACAGCTCAGCCTACCGCTCGGTGGATGAGGTCAGCTACTGGGACAAGCAGGACCACCCCATCTCGCGGCTGCGGCACTACTTGCTGAACCGCGGCTGGTGGGACGAAGAGCAGGAGAAGGCCTGGAGGAGGCAGTCCCGCAAGAAGGTGAGGGGCTGAGGGCCTCCGGGGTGTGTTCTGGGCAGGGTGCGGGCGTGTCGTGGGGACCTGGGAAGGATGGAGATGCTGGCGCTGGGGGACATCGAACTGGGAGACTCGGGGGCAGCCCGAGCCAGGCTGCCTGGGCCACATGCACCTCTGCCGCGTCTGAGCCGTCTGCACCACTCTGCCGTCCGCACCACTCTGCCGTCCGTCTGCCTCCTCATCTCGGAGAGGGAGACCCGTGGTGCCTGCTTCAGGCTGTTTGAGGGTCAGGTGACTTGATCCATACGCAGTTGAGTGTGTCCGGCCCAGAGTCGGCACTCTGCCCCACCTCAGCTCTGGCCATGATGGAGCCAGAGGGGCGGTGCCTTCCGGGGGTAAGAGCACCCCTGGAGGCAGGTGGCTCAGGCGTGTCCTGGCTCTGCCACAGCTACATTGCCACGGACAAGTCCCTCCTCTCCTCTGTGCCTCGGTGTCCTCATCTCCAAGCTGTCTGCCGCTTAGGGCTGCAGAGAGGCCTGAGTGAGTCCGTGCTCGGTCAGTGCCTGGTAGGTGGTGGTTCTTACCACATTGTCATGACCGTCTCCATTGTCTGGATGGGGACACAGAAACTCAGGTAGGAGGCAGGGCCCCTCCTTCAGGCCCTGGGTGGGAGGCCAGGTGCCCGCCCACTGTCTGGTGTCCCTCCAGGTGATGGAGGCCTTTGAACAGGCTGAGCGGAAGCTGAAGCCCAACCCCAGCCTGCTTTTCTCAGACGTGTATCAGGAGATGCCCGCCCAGCTCCGCAAACAGCAGGAGTCCCTGGCCCGCCACCTCCAGACCTATGGGGAGCACTACCCCCTGGACCACTTTGAGAAGTGAGGCTGGCCTTCCCCACAGCCGCCCCCACCCCCCAGCCACCCTGAGAGGTAACCCCACTCTGCAGAGGAAGAAGAGCTGGCGGGACACCGCCACCCCTTCCCCCAGCCAGCTCCCTCCAGAATACTTTCGGGGCCAGGGTGGCACCTGACATGTCTGTCTGGGGGCGGTTCCCACTCACCCTCTGGGAGCCCCCTCCCTGCTCCTTCAGGATGTTCCATTTAGGGGGCAGTGTTTGCAGCAGTTGCTGAGCCCCCTTCAGCTCCCCCTCCCTGGTGGTTACAGTGCCTTCTCCTGGGCCAGGGGAGGACACCTGCCGGTCTCGGGCACCTCTGGCCGGGGTGGCCTGGCCAGGCGGGTTGACCTGTGGAACTTACTCAGAGAGAAGTGGTCAGCAGAGATCATGAATAAACGGTTTCTGAGTTCGGCTCTGTGCCATCTCTGGCCTCTGTTGCCTGGCATTTTGCGGGTGGTGGGAAGAGCCTAGGATGGCTGCTTTGGGACCACCCCTAGCCTCTCCACTTTAGATAAATAAGGCCAGGGCTGTTGGCGTATCTACTTCCCACAGAAACTTTCAGAAGCTGGCGGGGCAGCCCTGGCAGGCAGGAAGGGAGTGGGGGTCTTCCAGTGTTGGCCTCCTGCTCTCTCACACTGCGGGAAGGAGCAGGCCTGGTGTCCAGCAAGGCGGCCAGGGGTCCGTTGGAGCTAGCCCTGCCCAGTCAGGCAGGATCGGTGTGGGGTCAGGGCACAGCTGAGCTCTGCTCTTCTGTCCACCGCTCCAGGGCCCCACAGATGTACAAACCACTCCAGGCCTCAGAGTGGGGAGTGCATGTTTTTAAAAAACAAAAAAGTAGCGGAACAGTCCCCCTGTCTTATCCCTAGCCTGGGAAAGCCAGGAGTGGCTCAAGTAGCCTGGGTCCTAGGACCGCCTCCTGCCCATCAAGGCCTAGGAGAGGCTGAGCTGGGGCCCACACCTGCTCAGCCTGCCCCTCTGGGCTCAGCACTGGAGCTGTGGGTCCTGCAGGTGTTTCCAGAGCCGAATGCTATCCTGGGGGCTGAGGGGCCGCACCAGCAGCAGGTCACGGACAGCACAGGGCTCAGCGGTGCGGTCTGCTGGCCAGGCTGTGTGGAAGTCTGGGTGAGCCCGGGGCACCAGGCCCAGGGCACGGACGCACAGTCCGGTGTAGACATCGTTGAAGGGGAAGGGTGCCACACGGGCCGCTGCCTGCAGCAGCCAGGGTGCCAGGCGCCCAGCAATGACGTAGCCACCCCCGCTGGCATAGGCTGGGTAGTCACCTTCGAAGAAGGACCCAGGCACATAGAAGGGCCCTCCGGGCTTCCGGAGGGGCTTGGCCTGGGTGAAGACCTCACCCAGGTAGAGGCCACGGGCCCAGGCTGGGGGCAGGCCCCTCAGGTGTTCCAGCAGGGCGGGGATGCGCACGAAGGCGTCGTCCTGAGCATGCAGGACAAAGGCCACGTCAGGGCAGTGGCGTCCCACCCAGTCCATCAGCAGCAGGTCCTTGAGTGTCTGGTTGAAGGGGACGTCGAAGAAGTCCCAGAGCAGCAGGTCGCTGTAGCGGTGGCTCTCCCAGGCGACCAGTGGGCCCAGGTCAGGGCCCCCCTGACCCACTGGGGACCCCAGCAGGAAAAGCAGCCGGATCCCAGGAGCCGGACGGCCCCACGTCTCCCTCACAGCCTGTCGTTCTGCAAAGCGCCCTGGTTCCGACTTGACAGCCAGCAGCAGATAGGGGACGTCTGAAGCTGAGCAGCTGGCTACTTGGCCGCCGCTGCCAGCAGGCAGCCACCGTGGGAAGCTCCGGCAGGCTGCCGACAGCAGGAAGTGGCGGAGGTCCTCAGGATAGGAGGCGAAGTCAGGGATCTCAGCGGCGGCGGCGGCCCCCCAAGCCTGGCAGCCCCCTGCCTCCGTGCTGTCCGCACTGGGCAGGGTCTCCAGCCGCCACTGCTGCTGGTTCCAGGAAGCCAAGGGCAGCAGTCCGGTCAGGCCCAGGCGGGCTGAGAGGTTAGCAGGCAGGGTGGGCTCAAGGCTGGCTGGCGTGGGGCCTGGTGGGGAGCCCTGGGGTCCTGGGTAGGCTTTGCTGAGCCGAGGCTGGGATGCCCACTCGATGTACACTTTGAGGCCCAGGAGTGTGAGCAGTGCTGACAGGCAGAGAAGGCACTTGGGGCAGCGCATGACCCAGCCCAGGGAAGGGGCCACCGCTGGAGCTGCAAGGGAGGTGCGGGGGACTTTGGGGTGTAGGGATGGGCCTCAGAGGGGACCCAGCATGGCCCCAGGGCAGACAGCCTCTCAGTCCCCCCATAGTCCCTGCCAGCCCCCGTCCCAGCTTCTCCCATGCCAGACCCTCCCTCAACAGGGATCCAGCTGTTTCTATTCCTAGACCTAGGGATCCCCCATTCCAATCCCATTCCAACCTCCTGCTCTTTCGACTCTCTCTTGGAGTCCCACTCCTTCCACCTTCCTAAACTCCCAGAGGTCTGCCTATCCCCCGACCCCACCCCAGGGACCAGGGACCCGACCCTGCCAGCTCACACCCCCACCCACCATTCATTCCTCTCCCCAGGAGTCAGGATCACTTGATTCCCAGCCTGCCGGTGTAGACTCCTTCCACCTCCCTCCCTCAACAGGGGCTGGGAACCGGGGATCTTGCTCCCTCCATACCTGTGGGTCCGGCTCTCACCAGCTTCGGCGCCGGGACCTCGGTTGGGCCCTTGCTCAGATCTCCCTTCTGCCCTTCTGAGTGTTGGTCTAGCAGCCAGCCCAGCTAGTCCAGGGGTAGGAGGGAGCTGGAGGCTGGGAGGGCCCCAGGGGTAGGGAGGGGCCGGGGCGGGGCCAAGGGAGGGGAGGGAGAGGGCGGGCGCCAGACCTGAGTGCTGGGGCTCTGGCGTGTTGGGGCTGGTTTTCTGACAACACTGCCGCCGGGAAAGGTGCAGGGGGTGGCCAGAGGCACAGCGGGCCCTGCGAGGCCTGGGAGAGGAGAACCAGGGGCCTGGAGTTGGGGAGGGCGAGTCCATGGGAGGGTGAGGCCAGCTCCAGACCTGAGTCTGGGATGGATGGTGTCAGAGTGACCCAGGGCGAGGCCGAGTCCCAAGCAGGCAGAGACTGGGAGGCTGAGGGGCTGGCGCCAGGCCACGGCAAGGAGGCGGCATGAATGTGCTGAGTGGGAATGGACGGGCCTGGCCAGAGACAGGGATGTTTGTGGTTGCTGCCCAGAGTCGGGGTGGGGGTGGGGAAGGGGCTGGTGAGGAAGAGAGAAAGGTAGTCGAGGGCTGGAGAGACGACCTTGTGACCTTGTGGAGCGAGGGACAGGCAGCCAGGGGAGGCCTGCGGGGCAGGCAGGGAGAAGAGAGGAAAGACTGGGTGAGACAGGAACTGGAGAGAGCTAAGAGAAGAGAGAGAGAGAGGACGGGAAGATGAGGACATGGAGCTGGCAAGGAGAACGGGCGGCCCGGAAGCCCCTGGTGGGGAGAGTAGCGGGCAAGAGCGATTAGAGAGGCAGGTGGAGAGAGATAGGGCCGTGGGCAGAGAGGAGGGGGTCAGAGAACAAGAGCCAGACACAGGGAGATGGAGAAGGGAGCCAGCAAGGAACAAATTGAAGGGGGGAAGGAGCGGGTGACAGGGTGCGGGGTACAGGGACCCTAGGGCCAAGTCACCCCTTCACCTCCTCCATCCGCATCAGTGCCTGGGCGGTCTGCAGGGAATCCACTCCAGCCCGGTTCCCACCTCCAGCCCCGGAGTGGGTCTGCCCTGGGGCCCTGGCCCCTCCCACAGCTGCACAGTGACTCCAGGAACACTCACATCCGGCTCTCCTGGGACCAGGAAGGGTGTCTGCCTGTGTTTACCTCTCAGCCCTCCAGAGGCCTCCGCTGTTGGGGCTGCATCAGCTGTCTGGGGAGGCGGGTGGGTGGGGCTTCCTCATCCCAGACCTCCTGGGACCTGGGATGGGACTAGGGCCCCCCTACTAAGCCTGGGCTGACTCTTCTCCTGACTGTGGGTTGGGGAGAGGCTGTCCAGATCATCTCGGGGACCCTGCCTGTCAGCAGCAACAGTTTTTATCTGTCCATTGCTGACTTCCTCTTCCCAGGTTTGAATAATGGAGCCCATGGGAACAGCTGGAGGAAGAGTGGGTTAGAAGAAAGCTGGAGTGGGAAGTGACAGCCAGGGGGTGGGAGCAGGGGCTTGAGCACCTCTGGAGGGGGATCCCAGGGCCGGGAGATGGGGTGAGGGCCACATGAGCTCTCCTGGCTTATCTACCTTCTGCCTGGGGGCACAAAGATTCTCAACCTGGGGCAGCACTGCCCCTCCTGGGGGCGTCTGGAAATTTCTAAGGGTGAAACTTTGGCTGCTCTGTCCATCAGTCTTAGTCCAATCAGGAAGACAGAAACCACACAGCCATTTGAACAGGGACCTTAGAATAATTAACTATAACAGGAAATTATTAACTGTAACAGAGGGATTGGCTAGTAAGAAGTGCTTTCTTGTGGAACATTGCGGGGGTTGGAATATGATAAACCCAATCCAACATACCTATCTCCCTAAACCTTTGGATTCCCTCTTCATGTTGGGCAGTTCTGGCATCTCAGCCTCATTAACTAGAGGTCACTGTTGACTCCAAGTTCCAGTCAACCAGCCAAGTGAAATGTTAGAACCACCTCCAGGTGCACAAGCTAACCCATTAAATCTGGAATGGCTACTAAGTGCACACATATTAACAGAATAGCCTCATATGCATGCGAAAGCTGGACAATGACTAAGAAGACCGAAGAATTGAATTATGGTGTTGGCGATGAATATTGAATATTGAATATACCATGGACTGCCAGAAGAACGAACAAATCTCTCCTGGAAGAAGTACAGTCAGAATGTTCCTTAGAAGTGAGGATGGCGAGACTTTGTCTCACGTACTTTGGACATGTTATCAGGAGGGACCAGTCCCTGGAGAAAGATATCATGCTTGGTAGAGGGTCAGCGAAAAAGAGGAAGACCCTCAATGAGATGGACTGACACAGTGGCTGCAACACTGGGCTCAAACATAATGATTGTGAGGATGGCACAGGACTGGGCAGTGTTTTGTTCTGTTGTACATAGGGTCGCTATGAGTCGGAACCAACTCTAGGGCACCTAACAACAGTGTTAGATTCCACCCTCATTGGTCTAACACTCTTAGAATCCACTCCTGTACATGTCCCCCAGGTATATTTGCAAAGTCCTGCAGTTCTTTTGGTGAATAAGCTATTCCTTCCTGGTCATAGTGTATACCTGTCCCCTGGAGCATGCTGAGACTTGACCTAGATATGTATGGGCCTAGTGGCAGCAAGGGCTGGTTGTGCTGTCTTGAGACATCCCCTTTCAAGACATCGAGCACAGGAAGGTTGATAGTCTTCTCAAACCCTGGCAGGAGGGGAACAGTGACTTGGGTGTTCAAGATTGTCAGTCTCCTGTGGTTCCAACTGGATGTCTTCATTCCAGATTTCAGAAGCCCATTCTTTACCAACCAGTGCCCTAACTTTCATATGAGAAACTTGTGCAGACTGTTATTTCAACTGTCATAATTCAACAACCTACAAAATCAAGTTTTGTGTTGGGTTTTTGGTAATATCAGCCCTGCAGCTACAAGAAATAAGAACTTCTTTTAGAGTTGTCATGGAAGCACTAATTCCTGGACTGTAACTTGAGCTAGCAGACCTGAACTTGTCATTTTCTATTTGTAAGCACTCAAAAGAGTCCATCTCACACCCTAGTCTTTAGGATTATTAGGTCCCCCAAGGCGTGTGCCTTGTTGGCACCTCATCACCACCACCAGGTGATGGCTTGATCACTTGTGATGCCACTGCATGCTGTGGGTTTCTAGCCTCTTGTTTCCCATTGGCAAAGAGCTCAGTACCGTGCTCAAGCCCAAGGGCATGAGCAAACCAATCCCCAAATCCCACCTTTGTGAGTCTTGTCTCCTGGGACACTCTGAGTACCAATTTCATATCAGTATGGATCCAATCGGGAAGAAAAAACACAAATTTGAACCGGGAAAGTTTAATATAAAGTTTAATATTAAATATAATGGTAGATTGGAATAACGAGGGACTGGCTAGTAAGGTGCCTTGGAACTTACTGGAAATCCGCTCTCTGGGGTCGGGGGGAGTTGTTCACAGGGAGGCACTTCAGCAGAGGCATTCCCGTATGAAACCACTGGGGGAGGGGGCCGGGGGAAGCTGCTGGCCCCCCGGCACTGTAGAGCCAGGTACTGGAAGAGTCACAGGAGCTGGGCACAGGGGAAGCTGCATGTGCTGTAGGGCCTGCTGAGCGAGCACACCAGAGCCGGAACCAGGAAGCAAAAGCCTTTGTCTTGTCATGGCTCTCATGTGCCCCCTACTGGCAAAGCTTAGCATCATGTGAGTTGGCAAAGGAAAAATATTTCAAGGGCCCAGATCCACTTTCACAGAGCAGACAAAGGAGTTGAATTTGGAGCCGAGAGTCAATAAATCGATCACCATGGGACTAGGGGGTGCTACTGGCATTTTGCAAGTGTGGGCCAGGGGTGCTGTACAGCCTGCAATGAGCTGAGCGGTCCTGCCCTGGAAGAACATCCCTAGGTCAGTCAGGGTCCCTGCAGGAAACAGCAGTGCAAGCGCGCGCAAACACACACACACACACCCACACGAGAGTGACTTGAGAAAGGTCTTTTGAGAAAAGCGTGGGCAGGGTGTAGGGCAGCCACAAAGGAGAGTGCAGCCCTGGGGGCTACTTCCAGGGGGAGCCTTCACCTCCCCATGCCTGAGGAGGCAGGAGAGGGAGAGGTTACTGGGACTGGGAAGGAGGGGGTTGCCTAACAGGAGCTGTGACCTTCAGCCAAGGGTGCAGCCAGCCAAGGCACCCCCGAGGCAGGAAATAAATATCCCTGTGACTAAAGCTCTTCTTTCCTCTGACCTCCTGCCAGGGCCACAGCCCACTGCTCCCCACACCCTGCGCTGAATGACTCCAACCATAAGCTGAAGGGCAGCAGTGTGGAGAGCTGGTCAGGCATTGCACACAGCCTGCTGAGATCTGCTTGCATGGGGAGGGGCTGAAGGCTAGGCAGGGACAGGGCCGGCTGCGTCCCGACGCTGCTCCTCTGGTGCCGACTTTAGGCCCTAGGCCCAGTCAGCCCCCAGAACCTCACAGTTGGGCAGCATCTCCTCCACCAAGATCCGAGTGAGGCCGGGGTTGGACACGGAGGGGAGGTCTGAGATGTCCAGCTTGCGGAGTTTCCTGGAAGGAGGGACGCAGGGTGGGAGGCCAGCATAAGACAGTGTGTATGTGAACCCCACTTCAATCCCTAAAACCAAAAAAAAAACCCAAACCCCTTGCCGTCGAGTTGATTCCGACTCATAGCGACCCCAAAGGACAGAGTAGAACCGCCCCATAGGGTTTCCAAGGAGCACCTGGTGGATTCGAACTGCCGACCTACTGGTTAGCAGCCATAGCTCTTAACCAGTATGCCACCAGGGTTTCTGTTCAATCCCTAGCTTCCTAAAATTAAAACAAAAAACAACATTTTACTCTACACCGATGTTCACTGTAGCATTCTTCACAAGGGCCAAAAGGTGGAAACAGCAGAAATGCCTTATGAACAGATGCACGGACAAACACAATGTGGTATCTACGCACAACGGAATATCACTCAGCCATACAGAGCAATGAAGTCCTGACCCATGCCACCACATGGAGGAACCTTGGAAACATCGTGCTGAGTGAAAGAAGTCAGTCACAAAAGGACAAATACTGTATGAGCTCATTCATATGAAATAAGCAAATACGTAGAAGCCAAAGATTATTAGTGTTACCAGGGGTGGGAGGGAGGGAGAAGGAGGGGTTATTGCTTAGAGGGCAGTGAGTTTATGTTAATGGTGGTGGAATAATTGGGAAAAGGATAGTGACAACGGGTGCACAACGTGAAGAATATAATCAATGTCACTGAATTATAAATACAAAAATTGTTGAATTAGCAAATGTTTTGTTATGTATATTTTTACCACAATAAAAAAAAATCTTCATAACTGCCCAGAAAATGGCAGAGCTGTCCAAAGTACATGTAAGCCACCGTGCTACTTAGAAGTAGACACCTCTGGCTCCTATTCTGCAGCAGTGTAAACATCATAGATGTTTCACTGAGATAGAAAACAAAAGAGCAAGAAAAACTAGGAGCCTTTCACTCTCCCTGAGGCCCGCTGTGACTGCGCACCTGTGCCCACCCACCAGGAACGCTAGGCCCTTATGGAGGTGGGGGAGGTGGGGAGCTGCCCAACCACGCCCCCTCCTCTCTCTCTGTCCCGCATCTGGGCTTCGAGGGAGATGCCTTGGCAGGGGCCCAGGCTGGGCAGGCGGGGGTGGGGGTGCTGGGGTCTTACTGGAAGTGGTGGAGGCAGGCGAGGCCCCGTTCGGAGATGCGGGGACAACCGGCCAGCGAGAGCTCCTGCAGTGAGTCAGCCAGCGGGTGGAGGTGGCTGAGACACCAGTCATCCACATGGGGACAGCGCTGCAGCCAGAGGGACTGGAGCTCCTTCAGGGGCACTGCAGGGGGAACAGGAGGGATGGCAACCAGGACCCTTCTAGAGCCCACACCAAGGACCCTCCTGGGGCCCATCACCAAGGACCCTTCCGGAGCCCACCACCGAGGACTCTTCTGGAGCCCACCACCAAAGGGAAACACTCAGAGGCCTTGCCCATACCACCCTCCCCCTCCACCCCACTGTACCCCACTCACAGAGGTTGTCCAGGCCGCTGTAGTTGAGGGTGCAGCCACTGGCATCCACAGCCTCTACAGGCACGGCCTGGAACTTCAAGAAGTCAAGAGAGAAATGGCCACGTCCATTTGGCCGGATCCACTCCTGGCCCTGAAACCTGGAGAGGGAAGAGATGGGGGGTCAGCAGGGAAACCCCCACCCCAGGCCCCCCACCTCCTATATAATACAATTACTGTTCTCTGCTTGGGGCACTTGGTGTATGTCAGGCCCTGTACTAAGGGCTTCACATATATGGATTTACTGGATCCCTGTGACGATGCCATCACAGATAGAATATTTCACTGTTTTACATACCCTGAGACTGAGCGTCGCAAAGATTACTGATTAACAGTCATGTGAGAGAAAACAGCTATAATGGAAGAACCCTCGTTGATGGGCAGAAGACACGAGACACACACAGACACGGGTACCACTGCCAAGGAATTTACTGGAGGAGGTGCTCAAACCAAATGAGAATTTTAATTGGAACAAAGATGGGAGTAGACGAAGTCTACATGAATCATAAAAGTAGAAAAAAATAAAAGAAGGGGGAAAAAAAAGGAAGAAGGCAGAGAAGAAAGAAGAAGGAAGGAAAGGAAGAAAGAAAAGAGAACAACGAGAGAAGAAAGAAAAGCACACGCTGAGCACACACGCTACGCCAGGCCTTATTACAAGTGTTTAGATTGTGAAATCTCATTCAGTCTTTCCTGCCAACTTTGCAGGTTAGACTATTACCATTCCACTTTACAGGTGACAAAACTGAGGCTCAGGAACGAGCCCCCAGGCCACACAGCCAGTAGGCAGCAGAGACCAGGGACTTGCATGGAGTCTGTGTTAACTGCAGAGCCTGGATCTTAGAGATGCTTGGCCGCCTCCCCCAGCCCCACTCCAACACCTGGGCTGTCATACTTGACTGCGCCTCCCTGATTCAGGACGGAAAAGGCACCTGCGATGTACGGGCCATACCGATTTTTGATGGAGTTGACAGACCTGCCGAGAAAACCACAGGTGAGGGCGAGGCCTGGGAACAGTGCACCTGTCACCACGCCTCAACTGAGAGGGTTAGAGTCCAGAGTACCAGATCTGAGACAGCCTGACGGGCTCATTCAGGCCATAAATACTGAGGCCCATCTGGAGCCCTGGTGGCGCAGTGGTTAAGAGCTCGGCTGCTAACCAAAAGGTCGGCAGTTCGAATCCACCAGCCGCTCCTTGGAAGCCCAATGGGGCAGTTCTCTGTCCTACAGGGTTGCTATGAGTCAGCATCGACTCAACGGCAAATGCTGGGCAGGGGGGACACAGTAGGGACTAAGACAGATAACAGGCCCTGCCCTGGGGAGCTCACATTTTAGAGGGAGGCAGATAAGAAACCAGGAAATAGCAGCAAATTGCAGAGATTGCCCATTCCGCCTTGAAAGTAAAACACACGGAATGACTGGGAGTGTCTTGAGCGGGCAGAGGGGAGGGAGTGGTCTGATTTAGACTGGGTGTCAAGACATGCTTCTTGAATGTAGAGACTGTTGAAACGGCAAATGTTTTATTACCTATATATTTACCACAATGAAAGAAAAAGAAATGTTTCTCGGAGGTGACACGTGTGCAGAGATCTGAGCGGTGAGAAGGGATGTCAAGGTCAAGGCCAGAGCCCACCAGGTGGTGGTGGGGCGGGGGAGGGGATGGTAGGGAGGGGATGGGGCGTGTTCCCTGGTAGGAGAAGGTTGCAGAGTCAGTAGGGGCCAGGTCTTTTAGGCCTTGGAGTTTGGCTTTTATTCTAGTTACAATCAGAACCCATTTGAGGGTTTTAGGCAGGGTGGTAATGTTATCTGCTGTATGTTCTTAAGAGTCCTTTGGCTGCCTTCTAGACTATGACTGACTATAAACCAAACCAAACCCACTGCTGTTGCGTCAATTCTGATTCATAGCGACCCTACAGGACAGAGCAGAACTGCCCCATAGGGTTTCCAAGGAGCGGCTGGTGGATTTGAACTGCTGACCTTTTGGTTAGCAGCCAAGCTCTTAACCACTGCGCCACCAGGGCTCCATAATAGACTACAGGGGGCAAAAAGGGCCCAATGAGATTACTGCAGTAATCCAGCCAAGAAATGAAGGGGCTCAGACCAGACCACAGAAACTGGAGGTGCTGGGAGCTGGTCATATTTGCAATATTCTGGCATTTTATCAATGGACTGGATGTGGGGGGCAGAGAAGCAAAGAGAGGAATCAGAGATGACCCCTTAGAATTTGGCCCAAGCAACTGGGTGGGCTGTGGTGCTGTTTACTGAGATGGGGAAAGTTTGAGGGTGAGCAGGTTTTGGGGGAAATCAAGGGTTTGGTGTTAGCCATGTGAGGTTTGAGATGTTGGTGGGCAACTGGTTGCCTATAGGAGTCCCTGGTGGAGATGAAGATGCAAGACTCAGCAAGGGGCTCCCTGAGGCCGTTCAGGACCTTGGAGGGGTGAGGGCAGGATGTGGGCTTGGACTCCCAGGGCCTGAGCAGATGGTTCCGGACAAGGTCGTGCAGGCCAGGGGTTCTCACCGATTTTCCTGGTGTACCTTCAACGCCTGCTTATGGAGAAAGTACTCCCTTAGAGCCTGCACATCATAGAAGTGGTCAGCCAGGAACTGGACCAGCGTCCTCCTCTTCCTCTGATTGCCCTGGGGGGCCACCATCCTGTTCAGGCCACGGACACCCCTGGTACCCCTGTTCCATACTGGCGCCACCAGGCACAGGGACTGGGGAAGGGGACAGGAGAGGAGGGACTCAGCCTGGGACTTCCTGTGAGAGACAGCACTGGATCCCCCTGTTCTTGCTCCATGAATACTTGGCTCCCTGGCCCTTGCTAAATTGTTTCAGAACCTCCAGATTCCGCCTTTGTGATTGACAAAGTTTCCCCACGTTTTCCCCCAGGTTCTCCCCCTTAATCAACCCTACATTCCCTCCTTGGTGTAATCAAACTTTCTTGGTTTTCCCAAATTCTCCCCTAATTTTCCCAAAACTCTTTACTTTTCTGTCAATACTTTCATTATCTGACCTCTTAATTTCCCACAAATTCTGCTCTTAATTTTATCCAGTTCTCCCTGGGGTTTCTGGAATTACCAGTTTCTTTCTCCCTAAAACAAAACAAAACAAAAAAAACCCCACCAATCCCGTTGCTGTCCAGTCGATTCCGACTCATAGCGACCCCAAAGGACAGAGTAAAACTGCCCCATAGGGTTTCTAAGGAGTGACTGGTGGATTCGAACTGCGGACCTTCTGCCATAGCTGTTAACGACTGTGCCACTCCAAATCACTCTTGATTTATATCTTAAAGCCCCAAACTGTTCCTTTACTTCCCCTCAAAGTTCTCATGTTAACTTGCCCTGAATTCTCTGTTTTAACCAAATTCTCGTTTTTCCAAAATTCTTGGGTTAATTTTGCCTAAAACTTTATTTCCCCTCAAAATTCCTCTTAAACTCTACACTTCTCTCCTTAATGTTTTCTAAATTCATCCCTTGTTTTTACCCAATTCTTCCTTTTCTCTTTCTAAATTCTCTCGATGAATATTGCAAATTCTCTCCTTAATTTCCCCCAGGTCCTTCCCTTGGAACTACCAGATTCACTCCTTATTATTCCTTTGGTCTCCCATCAAAATTCCTAATTCTTCCATAAAGTTCGCACAAGTTTATTCTTTGGTCTCCTGCCCTTGACCTTTAAAGGCCAGAATCTTGGCCAATCCCTTCCAAGCGCCCCCCACCTCCCCGCCCAGGTCCCAATCTCGCCTACCCATTTGCTCCCCGTAGTCTTAGCCCTAACTCTGATTGGCTCGAGCATCAGCCTTCTCCCCTGTCCCTCACAACTCTCGGCTTTCCTATTGGTTTCTCTCTCCAAGTCCCGGCTCCCTCTCAATCGCTAAAGCCCCTCCACAGCCTGTGTCTCGATTTTTCCCTGTCCGATCGTCCCCGGTCTACACTCCCAGTGCGAGGCTTAGCGGGAGAGGCTCCTGCCCTTTCGTGGCTCCTTGCCCTCCTGGGTGCCAACAGCGGTCCTAAAGGCGGAGGCGGCAGAGAAAACAAGTTTTGGAGGCTTTAGGTGCTCCGATCACTTACCGCCCTGGGCGCTGCCATCTTGCTAGAGTTACGTAACCGGAAGGGGCAGATCTTATTGTCCTGTCCCGCCTGACTGTTTCAGTAATAGGCTTCATCTCTAATGGCCACGCCTCTCTATTTTCCAGGCCTCCTCTTAAAGACGCAGAGTCCCTGGGTGATGCAAACGAAAGGTTGGAGGTTCGAGTGCACCCGGAGGTGCCTTGGAAGAAAGACCTAGTGATCTATTTACAAAAAATCAACCATTGAAAACCTGTGGAGCACAGTTCTACTTTGACACACATGGGGTCGCCATGAGTTGTAATCTACTCAAGGGCAACTGGTTTTCATTTCTTGAAGGCACACGTATTTTGACTCTTTTGGATTAGGGATTGCTCAGAGTGCCCTTTCCACCGGCTTTATGACTCTGAAGACTTTTCTAGAAGAGGGTGGGCAGTCCTTCATGTAATGCACCTTTCTTCCCTGCTACTGAGTTGAGACTAGTATCATGAGGTGTTAGAGTTCAGTTTGGAATTCTCAGAGTGAAGATTCAATATGAAGTCTTGTGAATAGAATTATTCATTCATTCCTTGCGCAAATACTTACTAAGCCCCTCACGGGGTCAACATTCCAGGCCGGGAGAGGCTGGATGAAAAACAGATGAATAAGCAAGCTGACTCATAGTGACCTTATACAAGGCAGAGTAGAACTGCGTCATATGGTTTCCAAAGAGGGGCTGGTGGACTTGAACTGCGGACCTTTTGGTTAGCAGCCAAGCTCTTAACCACTGCACCACCAGGACTCCAGGTAGTGTTTGGTAAGAATCAAGTAAAAAGCAAGTAATACAATAGGGAGTGACTGGGGCCTGAGGCCATCATGAAAGGCCTCTCTGAAGAGGGGACATTTAAGTGGAGGTGAAGAATAAGGAAACAGCCATTCAGAGATCTGGGGGAAGATTATTCAAGGCAAAGTCTAGAGCAAATGCAAAGGACCTGAGGTGGGAGGGGCCCAGGAGAAGGCAGGAAGCCAGATGTCAACAGATACTGGGCACCCACTAGTGGCCAGGCCTGGGTGGCTGCTGGGAAGAGGCAGGGAGGGGTGAGTTTTTACCTTAGCGTGAGAGGCTGGGGTTGGACCTTTGTGAGCAGAGTTGAGGTTAGACTTCAGAAGGAACCGAAACACAGGAGGCCGGCTGACTCTCCCTGGAGAATGAACTTTGGGACGCCTCTGTCCGCCTCCCTTGGTCCCGCCTGGCTGCCCTTCACTCCCTCCACCAGGAGCTCCTCAAGCGGCTGGCTCACTCTGGACCCTGCTACTTCCTGCTCCCTGTGGCCACTGCTTAGAGGCTATGGAGCGGTGGAAGCAGTTGAGGCAGGCCAGGCTTGTATCCCTGGAACTGGGCCCACCCCCGAGGGCCCTGAGGGAGGTCCCCCCAGCGGAGAGGCCTGGCCAGACCCTTGTGTTCCCAGGAACAGACACTGGAGATGCCCGGGAGAGGCTGCTGTGGATCTGGGAGGAGCTGGTGAGTGGGGGGGTGGGGATGGAGCAGTGGGGTGGGAAGAGGGTGAGAGATGGAGAGAGAGAGAGATGAACAGTCTGGAAATAGAAAGTGCCAGTGACAGAGATCAAAAGTCAGCAGTTGAGAATCAGGAATAGAGAGAAATAGGGGCAGAGGTAGGAAGAGAGAGAGATGGAGACAGAGAGGGACATAGACATAGACCCAAGGAATAAGAGACAAGAATAGAGACAGGAAGACCAAGAAAGAGACAGAGATGAAAAGCAGAGACTGAGAGCAAGAACAGAAGCAAAGAGACTAAATGTGAGCAACAGAGAGATCAGGGGCAGAGAAGTGGAGAGACAGAGAGACAGGACATGGAAAGACGTAGAGACAGACAAATGGAGACAGAGATAGATAATGAGAGAGGGAGGTATAATGAGAGAGACAAACAGACCGAGACTCAGAGACAGAGAGAGAGGTGGAGACAGTGAGGGACGCTGAAATGGAGAGACAGAGGCAGAGATCAAGAGATACTGTCAGAAGCAGGCTGACAGATCAGGGTCTGAGGTGCAGAGACACAGTGAGGACCCCACCCCAAAGCTGCGGGCCAGGACTTGAGGGGGACCTGCTCCCCCCAGGTCCCAGATCAGCAAGCCAACCCTTGCTGTCTGCTGTGGAATGCCCATGACTCCCCACTCCGACCGGCAGGGGAACCTCCGCAGAGTGGATATCCAGCTGCTGGACCAGCTGTGCAGCCTGGCGCAGGAGATGGGGGCGCTGCGGGAGGAACTGGAAGAGGAGGAGGAGGAGAGCAGTGAGGCAGATGAGGATGAAGAGCCTACGAGGAAGCAGGAGGAAGACTTGGGGGCCTTCTGCCCAGCCACCTGCCTCCCTGACTTTGAGATAACTATCTGACGTCCTGCCAGTGTGTTTTCAATGAGGTGACGTTTATGCAAAGAAGAGGGTGGGATCTGCGGGTCAAATCAAGGTTTGAAATCAACACCTGTTCCTTGAGCAAGTGCTTTCTCTGCAGGGGTCTTGGATGAGAGCATTGGCCTGTGAGCTCTGGCCATGTTTCCAGGTGATGTGGAAAGTTCTGCAGAGGAGTTGTAGGTGTATTTGCAGATAAGCCATGAGCGTGTTGTGTGTTGTGGGTGATACACAGAGGTTTGCAGCTGAGAAACTGATGTTTGCCTGGGAGATGGGACTCTTTGCAAATATGATACAGATTCTTGCAAATGAGGTTTTAGATCAACCCTGTCCAATATGGTGGCCACCAGCCACGTGATAGTGAGCCCTCGAAACATGGCTAGTCTGAATTGAGATGTGTCATAAGTATAAAAGACGCCAATTTCAGGCGGTTAGTATGATAACAAGAATGTAAAACATTTCAATAATGTTTTTATTAATCACCTGTTGAAATGATAACATTTTGTGTATATGAGATAAAATCAAAATTATATAAATGAATTTCATCCATTTTTTTTCACTGTTTAAATACATGGCTGCTAGAAAATTTAAAATTATATATGTAGCTCTCATTGCATTTTTTTAAAAACGATACTTTATTGTGTTTTTGGTGAAGGTTTACACAGCAGTTTAGGTTCCCATTCAACAATTTCTGCACAAGTTGCTCAGCGACGTTGGTCACACTCTTCACAATGCGTGTGCAGGGTTTTCTTTTTTTTTTGTGGTAAAATATATTTAACATAAAATTTGCTATTTTAACCATTTTTAAGTCTACAATTCAGTGGCATTACTTACATTCACAGTGTTGCGCAAACATCACCACCATCTATTTCCAAAACACTCTCATCACCCCAAACAGAAACACTATACCCCTTTCTTCTCGCCCCACACCCCTGGCAACCTCTAATCCACTCTCTGTCTCTATGCCTTTACTGATTCTAGATATTCCTGTTGTATTTCTTTTGCATAGCAGTATTTCAGACGTTTGAAAATGGAGTGTGGGTGCAGTGCAATGGATTGTTTTTGTGTGACCTTTCTAGCCACGGTCTTGTAACTGTGCAAACAAGGCAATTGTGGCCCACCAAGGGGATTGGTCAGTTTTGCCTTAAAAGAGAGTCAACTCCAGAGCAGAGAGAGGATCCTACCACCACCAAGGAAGAACAGCCAGGAGTGGACAGTGAGTCCTTTGGACCCGAGATCCCTGTGTTGAGAAGCTCCTGGAACCAGGAGGGAGAGAGAACTGTAACCCTGAAAACGGCAAGAAGCCGTGGCAGGAGAGACCAACAGGAGACCGTGCAGTGTGCTTCCTGGCCCACGGAGTGAGAAAGCTGAGTGCCTGGGTTGCCTCTGGGGACTTACTGGCAGGAGCTAAAAGAGCTTTGTAATAGTTTCCTGAGCAGAGCAGAGGCCTGCAAGCACAGCTGAAAAGAGGCTGTCCTGATGCAAGAACTGTATCCGGAGCCTGAATTGTAACTTGTTACTTCCCTAATAAACCCTGTAATCATGAGTATTGTCTGTGAGTTCTTTGTGGCCATTGCAATGAATTACTGAACCCAGCAGAGAAGTAGAGAGTGCTGTGAGGTAGGGGGATGGTTGGTGTCAGAATTGGTAAAGATGGTGGGCAGAGGAGGTATGTCTGAACTCCACCTCATAGGAATCAACCTGGGGCTGTTGATCTTCCTTCTCCTTCTCCCTTGTGAATATAGAGGAAGTCAGATGCCACCCCCTTGCTGTTTTTACAGTGGGTGCGGGACACCAGCTGCCAAATTTACAGATGTGTTCACAGATGTGTTTCAAACGTGTCAGATCTCCGCCTGCAGAGGATGGGCAAATGTTTGTGGATGGTGGCAGAGGAGAAGCAAGAGTTTGCAAATGGAACTACTGCCCTGCTTTACATTTGCAGAAAAGATGCCCAAGATAGCAGGTAGAGTGCTCCAGCCTGAGGGGACACATCTCCATGGAGACATCTGAGCATTCATAAAACCAAGCCTGGTGAGGAAAACCACACGTGGACATTTTTGTAATTCTTTATGAAGGCATTTCCTAGCTGGAAGTGAGGATGTTGCAGAAAGATGAGAGGTTTGCAGAAGAGGTGTTGGGTCACTGTTCTTGGGGATGTCCTCCTTAAAAACAAGCCGCTCCTATTCACAATAGCCCAAATGTGGAAACAACCTAAAGGTACATCAACAGATGAATGGGCCAACACAATGTGCAGTATCCCTACAATGGAATATTATACAGCCACGAAGCAGAATGAAGTACTGATACATGCTAGGACATGGACGGACCTTGAAAACATTATGCTAATAATGTGAAAGAAGCCAGACACAAAAGGTCACATACTGTATAATTCTATTGGTATGAAATTTCCAGCATAGGCAAATCCATAGAGACAGGAAGTAGGTAGGTGGTTGCCAAGGTGTGGGGGGAGGGGACAGGAAGAGTGGGAAGTAACTTCTTCATGGGTATGGGGTTTTCTTTTGAGATGACAAAAATAGATCGTTCTGAAACTAGATAGTGGTGATCGTTGCATAACATTTCGAATGTACTAAATGTCACTAAAGTGTATGCTTTAAATGGTTAACTGTACGTTACATGAATTTTACCTCAATTTAAAAAAAATGGAAATGATATAAAAAAACAAAACCAAACCCAAGTTGCTTCTTTTGGTCCAGTGGAATTGCCAGGACTGACGGGAGGTGCAATGTAGGGGTAGGGTTCAGGCTCCATTGCTGTCTTAGTCATCTAGTGCTGCTGTAACAGAAATACCACAAGGGATGGCTTTAACAAAGAGAAATTTATTCTCTCACATTCTGGGAGGCTAGAAGTCCAAATTCAGAGCGCCAGCTCTAAGGGAAGGCTTTCTCTATCTGTCGGCTCTGGAGGAAGATCTTGCATCAATCTTTCCCTGGTCTAGAAGCTTCTCCTCGCAGGAACCTCAGGTCCAAAGGAAGTGCTCTACTCTCAGTGCTGCTTTCTTAGTGGTATGAGGTCCCCCTGTCTCTCTGCTTGCTTTTCTCTTTTATATCTCAAAAGAGATTGGCTGAAGACACAATCCAATCTCATAGACTGAGTCCTGCCTCATTAACACGACTACTGCTAATCTCATCTCATCAACATCATAAAGGTAGGATTTACAGCACACAGGAAAATCACATCCGATGACAAAATGGTGGACAATCACACAATACTGGGAATCATGGCCTAGTCAAATTTATACACATATTTTTTGGGGACACAATTCAATCCATGACAATCATCATCCTGGTCCTCCTTTGCCAACCTGAGCCAGGGGTGCGGCTGCTGGGAGCTCTGCTGTAGGGGTGTGGGGGGAACGTTGAAAGTCAGACTCCAGCACCCAGGGGAGAGGAAAGACACCCCACAGAGCGTGCAAATGGGCAGGGCTTCCTCTCCCACCCTTAGTGCTTGTCTTAGTCATTTAGTGCTGCCATGACAGAAATACCACAAGCGGATGGCTTTTAACAAAGAGAAATTTATTCTCTCACAGTCTGGTAGGCTACAAGTCCAAATTTAGGGCAACAGCTCCAGGGGAAGGCTTTCTTTCTCTGTCGGCTGCGGAGGAATTTCCTTGTGATGCATCAGTCTTCCCTTGGTCTGGGAGAGTCTCAGAGCAGGAACCTTAGGTCCAAAGGGCACACTCTGCTCCTAGCACTGCTTTCTCTGTGGTATGAGGTCCCCAACTCTCTGCTTGCTTTCTTTTCCTTTTATCTCTTATAAGATAAAAGGTGGTGCAGGCCACACACCAGGGAAATTCCCTTTATATTGGATCAGGGATGTGACCTTAGTAAGAGTGTTACAATCCCACCCTAATCCTCTTTAACATAAAATTACAATAATAAAATGGAGGACAACCATACAATACTGGGAATCATGGTCCAGCCAAATTGATACACACATTTTTTGGGGGACTTAAATTCAATCCATGACAGTGCTCTAGACAGAAGCTGGGGGATCCCGAGGGTCTCCTGGGAGACATCCAGGCAGTGGGAGTCATCAGGCATGAGGAGGTCGGGCTCTGTGGCCCCAGGGTCATGTTTCACAGATGTGTCTCTTGGGGAGAAAGAGGTGGGGGACGGTGCTGCTGACAGGAGGCTGGGCGGTGGCTTGGGAGGAGGGCTCATCATTGAAACCAGCATGTGGGTGTCTCCTGATGTTGTCTGGGTGGCAGTTGCTCTGAACCATGGCCTGGGTCACAGAGGTGACATCTATGGGGGAGTCAGGAAGTTTGGGTGGTTGTGGCCAGCCCCCCACTACTGTCATCAACACCCCATTTACTGAGCTCCACCTGGCACTGACCAAGCCAGCACCCGCCCTCTGGGGCTCTCAGCCCAGCAGATGGAGAGACTCATCACCACACCGGTGACAGAAACAGCCAGAGTGGTCGGGGCTGGGAGTGGGGAGGCGTGGACAGAGGAGTCTGGGCTGGGATAGGAGAGGTGCAGGTAGAGGGGCTGGGGCTGGGATGGAGGAGAGGGGCAGGCACAGGGAACCCAGATAAGGCAACAGGCCCAGCCTCTAATATCAGGAAATGGTTTTTGGAGGATAACTGAAGGAATATGTAAAAATGAGCCAGGCAAAGAAGGAACATGGAAAGAGTGTAATAAGTGAAAACACAGTATATGCAAAGGACATGAGGCGATGGGGTCGTAGAGTGGTCTAGCCCCATGCTATTCAAAGTGTGGTTTATGGGCCAGCAGCATCAGTATTGTTACAGTCATCTGCTGCTGCATAAGAAACAACCCAAAACATAGTTGTTTTCAAACAATAACATTTATTTTGCTCACAAATCTGCAATCTGCAGGGATAGCTCATTTCAGCTTCACAGTGTCCACGACCTTAGCTAGAATCGTCCGAGGGCACAGTCACTCACAAGTCTGGCAGTTGATACTGGCTGTTGGTTGGGAGCCTTGGTTCCTCTTTATGTTGCCTCTCCAAGTGGCTAGATTGGGCTTTTACGCAACATGGTGGGTAGGTTCCAAAGGCAAGTGTCCTGAGAGAGAGAGCCAGGCAGAAGCCATATCGCCTTGTTTGACCTACCCTCAGAAGTCACACAGGCTCATTTTCACTGCCTTCCAGTTACTGAGGCAATCACAAAATCCTGCTCAGTTCCCAGGGGAGGGGAAACACAGACTGCACCTTTTGATGGGGGAGTGCAAGGTTCTGGAAGAGCATGCCGGACCGGGAATATTGCAGTGGTCAGTTTCGGAAAATACTAACTGCCACAGTCTCACCTAGAAGCTTGTTAGACCTGCTGCCTCTCAGGTCCCACCCTAGACCTACTAAATCAGAATCTGAATTTAACAAGATCCCCAGGCGCCTTGCATGCCCATCACGTTTGAGAAGTACTGTTCTAAATCACAAACATGACCCTGTTTTGAGCAGGGGAGGGACATTAGCTAAGATTAGAAAGCTTCCTCAGGCTGCTGTGTGAAGGGCGGATTACCAGTGACCATGGAGTCGACTTCAACTCATGACAACGCCATGTGTGTCAGAGAACTATGCTTCACTGG